CTCCACAATTCAAAAAGGATGTGGAGAAGCTTGAGAGGGTCCAGAGAAGAGCCACGCGTATGATCAGAGGTCAGGGAAGCAGACCTTAAGATGAGAGGCTGAGAGCCATGGGACTCTTCAGGCTGGAAAAGCGTAGGCTCAAGATCTGGTGGCCACCTGTAAGTTTATCAGGGGTGCTCACCAGGATTTGGGGGAACATTTGTTCACCAGAGTGCCCCAAGGGATGACGAGGTCAAATGGTCACAACCTCCTCCATGACTGTTTCAAGCTGGACATAAGGAAGAACTTCTTTACTGTCCGGGCCCCCAAGGTTTGGAATAGACTGCTGCCGGAGGTTGTTCAAGCACGTACTTTGAACGCCTTCAAGAGACATTTTGATGTCTGTCTTGCTGGGATCCTATGATCCCTGCTGACTTCCTGCCCCTTGGGCAGGGGGCTGGACTCAATGATCTTCCGCGGTCCCTTCCAGCCCTAATCTCTCTGAAATATTTGAATGGAAAGAAGTTAAGGCTTAGCCCAATGATTTTCCTTTTAGCCCTTGATCCTTTTAAGGGTGTTGTGGGCTACCACACACAGTTATCACTGTTAAGTATATGTAGACATGATGCACAAGATAAAAACCCAGAGATTTCAAATAGGAACCCATTGGGTTAAAGCGATTCTGACCTGTTGTGGTCTTTCCACATTCTTTGTGGCAGAGGAATTGCTTTAGCAGTTTTCTGTAGTCAAAAATCAAGTGAAAATTAAGAGCTGGCACTTTCTGAGGGGTGTCTTGAGTCTAATGAGGGATACCCTGAGTCTAAAAAGGTTGAGAACTGTTGACAACCCAATAAGGTTTTCAGGGGTGGGATGATAACTTCGTAGAAGTGACTGAAAACTTGAAAAGCAAATCTCAAAAGGACTTGAGCATTGGAGATCATATTTATATTTGATTTCTTTTGTCCCTTTAGACCAGGATGTGTCCAGCTTATTTGACCCAGGTCTGCATCACAGGGCATCTGTTTCATGGGCAAGACACCCCACCTCTGGCAGCTTGTCAGTGCTCACATTGGTGATTTTCTGGAACACAAGGAGTGGCTGCCTCCACTTATCTCTCCCTGACTTGGATTTGAGTTGCCAGTGGTAACTGAATTTGGCAATGTGCAAAGTGGTGAGGTGGCTAGTGGCAGTATGTTTGCCCCATGGGTTTTGAAGCCACATTGACAAGCCCCAAAGGCTGTGATTTAACCTGTCATGAGCCATATACAGCCTGTGGGCTGCCACTTGGACAGCCCTGCATGAAACAGTATTACAGTTGAAAGATTTCCTCCACCCCATGTAGACAGGGGGTGGGGGTTAACTTTTTTTGGGCAGTGTGCTACAAATTATTCCCACACTTTTTAAAAATAAAATATATTTCATGTTCCAAGTCAGGTTGGTTGAATAGAACTCAATTGTTCCAAAAAGCGTATCAGTTGAGCAGGCAGAACTCAATCTTTCTAAACACCATGTATGGTGCTGCAACTGGTGAGCATCCTCCATCCCGGGCTCTCACCCTGGGACTTTAGATGCTCCCAAATCCATTGGCAGGCATCCTATATGCAGGCCCAAGCCCAGAGGTCTTGGAATTCAGATGCCCCCGACTTGATCTTGACCCACAAGAGGTCAAGTTGCTTGATCTGAGCCAAAAGACTGAGCGCCATTCTGATCCACTTCCTCAGCCTGATCTGTTCTTTCTGCTTCCAGCCATGTTCTCCCTCTCTGAATTGCCTGCTTTGCTTTCTGTTTCCTGTCTTTTCTGCCGGTGTACTGCGTGTCCCTTCCCTAATCTGCTGCATGCCATGCAGAGGCTGCCTGTGCCGCTTGCACTCATCCCACAGGTTTGTCACCCCTGACGTAAACCAAGCCTATTTCACATTGTAGTCTATGCCTTTAAAAGTATAGAGGCTAAAAAAGGGTAATAATACAACACTGACCTGAACTGTTTTTTCAAGTGAAATTAGAGGAAATTATTTTGCCTGCTTTAGTTCTTCCATGCTTTATGATTTCATACATAGACAATCTAGATCTTGTGTGCATTTTAACACTTGCATTTGGGGGTATTTGATTCATTGAATATCATAAAGAACTTATTACTGAGACATAAAGAGCCAGTGGAGAGTGTTTGGGAATCTTTGCAGGAGAAAGTCAATGCTAAGGCAAGTTGCTTTTAAATGGTCCCTTGATACTAAGGTAAGGCAAGATTAGAAGCTGTACTTCTGTTCTCTCCCTTGCACTGGCTGCCAGTTACTTTCACAACTGCACTGGTTATCACCTGGAAAGCTGAATTGTTTAGACTGTGGTTATTTCTTAAGCCCAGATTTGTCATAATAACTGTACTAGTAGTTTGGCTATCCCTTGGTGCTGTTGAAGAAATGTGGCTGAAGGAAGGTCCTTTAACTAAATGCTTTGGACAGATAAAGGTACAGTATGTAGCTGTATTGATCTAGAGGCAAAAGGAATCAGAACTTGTGGTAGAGGTCATAGAGGAGATTTTACCACACCTTCAACTCTCCTATGAAATATGAACTTTCATTTCTACCCAGGAGAATTTGTACAATCTTTTCTCCTATGCCTGAAGAAGGGTGCTTGTGCCCAAATGCTTGCAATTAAAGAAATCTTTTTGCAAAAATCTAGTTGGTTTAATAAAAGATATCACTTCTACCACAAGTTCTGGTTCCCTTTGGAGAGAGAGATGTACTTAAGCTGGTAAAAAGGTGGCATGTAAAGATTTACAGCGACATAGTAAACATTATTAGAGCCCAAGTGTGTGTTCTGTGTCCTCAATTGCAGCATCATGAAAAGAAGTTTCAATTTACTTTCAGTCTGTAAATTAGTGACTAGTCACTGCTGGTGCTGTGAGCCTATTTGTCAAAAACAGCTAGTATAGGTTATGAAATTTAGCACTTGCATTGTGAAGTTTGTATTAACATGGCATAACTTTTCCTAGGTGGAAGATGGGCATGGATTGCTTCTTGAGGACTTGTGTATATGTGGAGTTACTTAGGAATAGCTGTTGTGAATTTAATCTTGTGCTTGCGGAACGCCATGTGGGATCTTTCTTGAGGGCTTGTGCCTCCTTGCCCTTGTTCTTCCAGTTGAAATAATGGGTAGTGAAAAAGTCATCCTCACTGATAAGCTGTTCTGCCTGCGTATCTTTTATTAAACACTTCCTTTATCACCTGGCTTCTTTGTTCAGACTTGGATAACTTTCCACTTGAGCCTCTGCAGATAGCCTGGTCAAAACTATATCTTTCTCTAGGCTTCAGCTAGCTTGTGGCTGTTTCTACCTCTAGTACCCATCCCTTTAAGATTTAATGACTCTTGTTTCTGGCCTAGTATAGTAGTCTTGTTGGTAAGGTGAATAACCTTTGCAACATTAATATTACACTGGTTTTCATTGCAACTTCAATCAGAATTTATAGCTTTAGAGAAAAGTTGCCCAAACTGTCAGGTGGACATTAAATATTGGTAAATCCCATGATTCTCAAAGGGGGTATTTGCATAGAGCTGTAAGTGGGATTTCCTGCTATTATTCTAGAATAGTAGTGTCTCAAAATCTGAGCCTGCCCTTCAAGCACCTATGTGAATCTGAGATCTGAAGGGGATTTTCTGCTTTTCCTTGCCCTGCATAAGCTTCTTCCATGCAACCTAAGAATGCAGGTTTAACTGAACAGACACTGCTCTTAGTCCAAGGCACTTTAAAATGCTATCAGTTGTTCTAGAGCAAGTTCATAATTTGTTTCTAGAGGTGATAAGCACTAGAAAATTTAAATAATAGTTGTTTTTTCTTTCCAAACTCTAGGATACCTCTGCCCCTTTATTCAAGAAAGCCAGGAATGTTGGGGTTTATAATGTGTAAGGCTAGAGAGGAAAAAATATAGGTATTTGCCAGCTTATACTATGGGGTGATGTTCTAGGAAGAAGGCCTAAAGCAGTGGTTTTCAGCCAGAGTGGCTTTAAAATGTTCATAAAGGTTTGGGGTTTTTTTTATGCAAAACACAACCTGGATAGACAGCTTTCTCTTTAAAATCACTCTCATGTTTGTACAGATCAAACACTTATTTCAAGTAATGCTTTTCTTTAAACCATGTTGGCCTAGGAGACTGCAGCTGTAAGAATCTGGTTGTAAAAGAGCCTTTGATAACTTCAGAAGTTATTCTCAACAGAAGAGAAATACTGTTTCTTACCATTTTTGTTCCATAATGATATGTAATAATGGCAGGTGATGGTTCGCCATACCTGAAGAGTCTGTATTTAATATGGGATGTAACAGCAATCTAAAGTCAAATCTTCCCTGTTTTTTGCTGAAGGCGGCTATCCTTTTCGAAATATCCAGAAAAAATAAGTGACCCTTTTGTATATAATTGGAAAGGAATTGTGAACTGATGTCTTTGATAGTTTAGATGCAATCTCCTTTTGTTAAGAAGTTGTTAGCAAAGCTAGCTAAAAGCAGAGTTTTAAATTCATTTGTGAACTGCCAGGATTGTTTCTTTCCTGCCCAGCCATTAAAAATAATGAGCTAAAGGATTGTGTGTACATGTGATCCATTAGGTGGTATCTGTCGCTAGTTTTTTTTAATGATGGGAGGGGGAGAATCTGACAGTCATTATTATTTCATATTGTAGCTGGTATTGCAGACTCGTTTAATCTTAGAATTTGTTTTCTAAAACTTAACACACATTCTTGTATAAGAATTATGCTTTCATAGTGTACATATTGTTTTATTACTATGCACTAATACATCTTATGAATTGAATCATTATTAGGTGTAGTGCTAAATGAGAGACCCAGTTTTAATGCTTTTCTAACAAGTGAAATGAAGATTAAAACAGAGATATTAGGATGTCTTGAAGTTACTCAATCTTGATCATGCTCAGTTATGGTTCCAGTGTATATGTGCTTGCTTTGGCAGCATATATAGTAAAATTAGAACTATTTTAAGTTTTGCTCAAGCTTACAACTTTGCTTTTGTTTCTTAGGTTGCACGTCTTCAACAAATCCCTAACGGTGACAATGAGACAATGATTCCTGTACTGTCCTCCAAAAAAGCAAGTGAACTGCCAGTTAATGAAGTTGCAAGCATTCTTCAAGTAAGTTGTGAAGACATTAAGGCCAGACTGTAACAGCAACTATTAAAGAGGTTTATGCAAGGAAGATTCTGTAATTCTTAGAAACTACTTTGTCTTTGAGTTTAATACTAACTTTTAGTTATTTTAATGGATATCATGGTTTAAACTCTAGTGTTTGTAGAAACATTTCTTTAAAATAAATTGTAAAATTGTAGACTTGTGTGTATCTTTTTAAAGTTAGTAATGTTAATATACTGTAATCCAAAAAACCACATGCTTTCACCTTAAATTATTAGTACTTACCCAGATAAACAGAAATGCTTTGTGTCCCATCCTGTCCCCCCCCCCGTCCCCCCCGTTTAGACCAAGAAGTCTTATTTAATCTTTCTATAAATTTCTTTTCAATCTTAAATAATCTCATAGGCACACTTTTAAGGTCATTTACATTTACGGTAGTATGTTTCAGTAAAATTAGTTAAGTACATTCTGTTTTAAAAAAAGATGAATTATTTTGACGTTGGTTTTAGATTTGCCAGTTGACTTGAGAATACTTCTGTATTTTGTCAAGAGTTTTTTTTCGTTGTTGTCTGTTCTTCCTCTCAGTGGAAGCCCTGGCAGAAGAGCTCTTCGAACACATTCTGAAGGATCTGAGTATTTTATATGATTTTATTTGACATAGTAGCACTTAGAAGTTAGCCAGTTTCTCAAGTAACAATGTAGAGGAAGGTCAAAGAAAGCTGTCCCCTATTTAGGTTTATGGATCTATAAATCTGGGGTTAACTTTCAGGGCACGTTGTCCTTCTATGTCAGTAATCTCAGTGGTTGTTCTCTTGGGTTAGTGCAATGGGGCTCTACCTTTTGGCCCCCGATGGTACTGGGCTGGGCCCCAGGTACCAGGATATGGCCCCGTTATGTCTCCCTGGCCTCTGTACACCTGGGTTGGCTCTGGGCTGCTTCTGTGGGCCCTGTGCAGCCTGATCAAGGCCACACCATCTCTGCCTGGCCCTGTGAAGCTGATCTAGCATGCAGGATCATGTTATCTGATCCATGGACTTCCTGACAGATCCAGAAATTTGGCAGCAGGGGAGCCACCAAATTTTTGGACCTGTGGGAAGCATTGTGGGCAAGATAACATGGCTCTGTGGGCTGGATATGGCCCACGAGCCAGAGGTTAAGCACTTCTGGGCTAGTATATGAAACAGTTTTGCGGGGGTTTTGGAGGCCAATAAGAGCTTAGGACTTTCAGAAAATTGCCCCCTTTGAAATTCTTGCCTAGCTATGTTACTGTAATTGTGACCTAATTCTCAAGAGCCTGAAAGCTACAAATGGTCAGCAGGTTAGTCACCTGGCTTGAGGTTTCTACAGAAAGGAGGTATAAATCTTCAGGGACATGAAGCGGCATCCACTATTCTAGTGTATCTGTAGGATCTTGGGTAGACCATCTTTTTATAATCTGAAAAGTTTCTTTACCTGTTGCTACCATGACGAAAACAATTTTTTAATGCCCTTATCATTACTATGGATATAGTCTGTAATTATTCTGTACGTGTTTTAATAGGCTGATCTTCAGAATGGCCTAAAAAACTGTGAAGTTTGTCATAGACGGGCATTCCATGGATGGAATGAGTTTGATATCAGTGAGGATGAGCCACTATGGAAAAAATACATTTTACAGGTAAGTGTTGTTTCATCCCTACATTTCTAGAAATATTGCCCTCTACTCTTCAGTTCTCTACATTTAGGGACATATTATGGAAAGGGAAAATGGGTAAACTAAGTACAGTGATTTAAATTGATGGTCCTGTAGTAGAATGTAGTTGGTATATTGAAAGGCCCTTCTATTCAGCTACCTGCAGAGTCCCTGACACACGTTACATTTAAAAAATGATTAGCAAGTTAATTCCACCTTAAGTAGTAACTGACCATGTGTGCAACTTGATTTAAGACATGATAATGCAGTAAATTAGGAACAAAGTCATTCCACGTGTATGGAACATTATATTTAATCGAGCATTACAGTATTTTATATAATGTGGAATAACTTTGGCTTGTTTGTATCGCACCTTAGATTGAACTTGTGGCCAGGACCTGCCAAAAATACTTGTGCTGCTCAGTTAGGCAGTGCACAGGTTTTGTACAACTCCTGGTGCATAGGGAGGCCGGCATTAAGCTGCCACAGTATACGGGGAGCTATAAAGCTATGTATGTTGAGCTGATTGTCTGCTTGGGCCAAGGCAAGTATGAGCAAGGTATAATCTCCAATCCCAGAACTGCACTTGCTGCCATGCATGTTTGGCATGGCAGGTTGTATCATTGTTGGGTTTGAGATTTAGATCCCATTATGTCTTAAGTTGAATGTCTGTCGGGGCACAAGTGTCTTAAGTGAATGTAACTTTTATACTTAGTCTGCATTTAGAACTGGGGCAACAGAACTGGGGCTAGAACAGTAAAGAGACTTATGGATGTGAAGATTTGTACAAAAATTTGTCCTCTGTGATCAAATCTGATTAGATACGAACCTGTGTGAGCATTGGATAAATTTTCAAGCCCTACTAAAGTACAGATGCCTTAATAGGCAAGGAGAGCTAGAAAAGGTTTTGAGGAGTAAGACATGGGGACAGTGCCCTGCTGTGAATACTCACTTAAGGCTTGTCCACACGTGCAAGCATGTACACTTGCAGCAGCTCAAATAGAAGTGGTGCAAATTTGAGCCGGAGCTTTTTGCTTCGGTGCACGTGCTCAGACATGCACTTTGGTGTGGAGCAAGTTGTGCCACTTGGGGCAAAATAACCCTGCCTGGCTCCTCTCGGATCTGCAGCTAGAGCCCAGGGCCAGCACCTGTGCTGTCCCCGGCAGTATAAAAAGCTGCCCTGTCCTGGCCCCATCCATACAAAAAGCTGCCCTGGCAAGCAGCTCAGGTCTGCTCGCTCTCTGGAGCTTCTGGGGCCCAGCCAATTGGTATCTGGGGACACTACCCCTTGTGCCAGCTGGACTGCTGCGGCAGCATCTCAAATCCATTTTTTTTAAATCCCCCAAAATCCATGTTCTTCCACATTTAAAGCAAAAAAACACTCTATTGGTATGTTTATAATGTTAGAGCAGTTTGGAAACCTACCAGTGTCTCTATCATCACGAAAAAATAAATTCTAAATACCTATATGTGTTGATGTGTGCTTCTGGTTTTCTTCATACATGATGGGTGTGTGATGGGGGGATGTGGTGTTTGTAGAAAGGGGGGTGATAAGGGGTGTGGGGGAAATGGGGTGGATGGATATGGAGGGATGTGGGTTGGTCTGTGTGTAGGAGTGGGGCAATTGCTGGAGGCACTGTGGGTATGGGGGACCTTGTGTGGGGGCTGCTCAGGAGGGGTGGGTCCCCTGGCCCCCACAGGGTGCAGCCCCCCCAACACATGGAATGCCCCCGCCCCCGGCCACTGCCCAGGGTCCCAGCTCCTGCCTGGAGGGCCATAGCCCCTATCCCCCACAGGACCCCAGCCCCTCTGCCCAGGGCCCATAACTAACGTTTAACAGCTGCGGTGGGGGGACCATGTGCCGAGCCCAACCTGGTTCTGCTGCCCCTGGGGCTGCTCTTGCTGCCCAGCCAGGCTGGTCTTGTGGCAGCAGGACCTGGTGTGGCACATGGGGACCATGTGCCAGGCCCAGCCGGGTCCTGGGCCCCCTCTGCAGCCCAGCCGGGCTCGGCCCATAGTGACAGGACCCAGTGCGGCATGCAGGGGTTGCATGCCAGGCCCAGCCGGGTCCTGGGGCCCCTCTGCAGCCCAGCCGGGCTGGGGCCATGGTGACGGGACCCAGTGTGGCATGTGGGGACTGCGTGCCAGGCCCAGCCAGGTCCTGGGGCCCTTCTGCAGCCCAGCTGGGCTGGGCCCAGATCCCTGAGGCTCGCTAGTCTGGCTTTGCACCGGAGCAGGTCGCACGGCTCCGGGAGGTGCACACAGAAGCCGTGCCTCCCGGAGCCCTGTGACACGCTCTGGTGCAAGGCCGGACTAGCAAGCCACATGGTGGGCCAAGTCCTCACCCCCCGCAGGCACAGGGGGCAAAGGCAGGAGCCAGCCCTGGGGCCTGGCCCATGCTGACAGGAGCCAGCATGGCATGTGGTTCCCACGTGCTGTGCCGGGTCCTGCCCCCTGGCCAGGCCCTTCCTATAGCTGCAGGACCTGGCCCAGCACGCGGTGACTACAGAGCCTAGCCGGGTCCTGCTGGCCCTGGGGCTGCTTGTGTCTCCTGGCAGCTGGGCGGCACGAGCAGCCCCAAGGTTGACAGGACCCCGCTTGGGTCTGCGTGGTCTCTGCGTGCCGGGCCAGGCCAGGCCAGGGAACATGAGCCGCCTAGGGGTGGCAGGATACAGCTCAGCTCCACACGGTCCCTGCGTGCCAGGCCGGGGAACATGAGCTGCGTGGCCCCTGGGCCAGGTCCTGCAACTATAGGAAGGGCCTGGCTGCAAGAACCGCATGCCGCGCCGGCTCCTGTCAGCATGGGCCGGGCCCCAGGGCCGGCTCCTGCTTCTGCCCCCTGTGGCTGGTGGCGGGGTGGGGGTGGAGGGATGTGGAGACCTGGCCCAGCCCCATGTGGCTCACTAGTCGGGCCTTGCACCGGAGCAGGTCACAGTGCTCTGGAAGGCGCGGCTCCTGTAAGCGCCTCCGGGAGCCATGCAACCTGCTCTGGTGCAAGGCCTGACTAGTGAGCCACATGGGGCTGGGCCAGGTCCTAACCACCCCCCAACTTACCTTGGACAGTGCCAGGGGCAGCAGGAACACAAAAGAGATGCTCTGGCCAAAACCAGAGCGTCTCTTTTGGAGGGCTGGCTCCGGGCACGGTTTTGAACCATGCCTTGCTCCACTCTATTACGGAGTGGTTTTTTTAGACACCTGGATATCCAGGGGTCTAATTTTTTTTTCATTCTTGCATGTGCCTGTTGTCCCGCCTCAAAGAGGTTTGAGGTGGGGCAACAGGCATGTGCGTGCTCATCTGGACGCGCCCTTAGGGATGAGAATTTTGCTGTGATATGAAAAAATGCTATCAAAAGAAGGGCTGTGTTTTTTGTCAGTCTTGGTTTGTTGGGTGTCTGAGCCAATATGTCTCTCTACAGTGTTCTTCTCCCTTGCCTAAATTATGTTTCCTCTTCATGTAGGGTTGGGATTGGTGGGATTGGATATTTTTTTTTTTTAGTTAGTTTGTTTTGGAACAACTTAAGGATGTTCACAAGGCTCTGGTCAGTTTGTTTCTTGCAGCTTGTCAGAGTAGCAGTGAAACTAAAAGGATTGCTGTAAATTTTACTCCCGGGTGATAGATGGCTAGATCCTAGAACAGTGGTTCCCAGCTGGGACTCTGTGTGCACCCCTTAAGGGTACTGTACTGCCTGGCTCCCATGTAAGGAGGGAAATGCTTCTCCCCTTTTGTCCTGTGCATCTGGCATCTGATGCCTGCAGCTGCTTTGAGGGCCGCCTGTCTTTTGGCCCTTTCTCTCAGCAGCCCCCATGCTCCCAGCAGCTTGCTCTGCTGCAGGTAAATGGCAGGTGAACGTGGAGCCAGAGCTGCATTTTTGCAGCCCAGCTCATCAGCTTCACTCCTCCCATGCTCCCAGGGCTGGGGAGGGACCATAGGGGCCATTTTCAGCATGTGAGATCCTTCAGGGATAGCCTTGGTGGTGAGAGCTGCCCTTACCTCCTCAGGTACAGATATAGGGAGCAGGGAGGAGGCAGCAGTGCAAAGAGTAGGTAGGGCTAGGTCCTTCCGCCACTGCTCTTACCTGGCGCTAGGAAGACCAACGATTCTCACTCGGTATTCCCCAAAATTCAGAAAAGTTATGGATGGGCATCTTGAGGCTAAATGGGTTGAGAAACATTGTTTGGGACCGTTGAGCTTGGCATTGCTTCAGAGGCATAGCCAATTCTCTGCTGCTGGCAGGAGCAGGAATATAATTGTATACCATCTTCTTTCTACCATTACCACCCTCTGTTCTTGAAATATAGTGGATTTGGGTGGTGTGGGGAAGGGAGCATGAACACATGGACTGGAAGTGTTCATGGGTTTCAGCACAAGGAATTCTGGTAAACAATTCTGAGCTTTGAGTCTGCTCAGGAAGTTGCTATCAAACAGAGGAAATGTTAGGTGTTTTTTTTTTTTTTTTTTTTTTTAAGAACTCACTCACTGCTGTTGGTACTTGTCATTAAAACTTTCCCAGATGCAACAGGCATATTCTTCCATTACACTCAACCCCGATAGTTGACTTCATTAAATCAGAAACGGATATGCAGACTCTGCATTGGCTATGGACAATACATAGCCCAGTTGTCAGTAGGCTCTATCTTTTCGTGCAAGTCTTATGTAGGACTTCCTTTAAAAATTTGTTTCTTATGCTTTTTTGTAAGGTTTTTTTCATTAAAAGTTATTACTCTGGTGGCATTATAACCCATTTCTAAAAATAGAACCCTTTCACCCTTTCTTGTTTTACTTTAACAAATCTGAAGCAAGCATAATATGATGTGGCAGGAACACTGTATGTAATTTAGAGCAAGGAAGTATAAATTGAAAATGCTTATTTCTGCCTTGACACTGAAGTAGTGGGAACCAAGCCTCTCTTTCCAAGTGCAGGCATTTGTAACATAGCCCAAACTTCTTTATATGTTATTGAAACACATAGAGAAGCACATACAAAAAAAAGCTCCCCACTCTTCATCCCCAGAAGAGGGGTATCCAGAAATCTAAGGAAAACAGTGTCCTAAGCTCTCTGGACCATTAAATATTCACCTAAATGGGTTGCTCAGGTCTCTTGATAGTCCAATATAATAACTCATTTTTAAGTGGAATATCTAAAATGATGTATTATTTGCTTTTGTTTAACCCAGGATTTAGAACTATGGTTTAATTAGTTCAACTTGTTCCAAACGCAACCAGTTGAATTGGTCTTGGAAGGGAGAGGTTAGCTATTGTTCTGAAATGTTGCTGAATTACTGTTTGTTTGCTCTTTCAGTTTAAAAACCCCCTCATTATGCTTCTTCTGGCATCTGCAGTCATCAGTATTTTAATGCATCAGTTTGATGATGCCGTCAGTATCACTGTGGTAAGAAATTAAAATTGTATTTTTTGGGTTACACTTAAAATGGATCCTGCGTTTGTGCTGGTGTTTAATAACCTATAGTTCCTGAACTGCAAGTGTAAAATATTTTCCCTTGCATATGGTGCATAAACAAATTTAGTTACAATTTAGTCTGGGAGCTGGGGCTGAATGCTGACAGATTCCGGGTGACTGCTGGAACCACTCCAGCTCCTAGACAGCACACAGTGCCTTGCGGAGCTGCTCTGCACCTGTATGATGCGACAGTTGCTGTGCGGGTGCCACCTGGGAGGGGGTGGGGGTGATCCCTGCTGCCGTGTGCTGTGCAGGGTAGCTCTGCCATGAGCACCCAGAGGCCCCAGTCGCCATTCCTGCAGCTGGTGACTGCGAGGCCTTTTTTTTTTAAGTTCTGGGGGGCTGGGCCAGGCAGGGCAGCCATGGGGGCTCCTCTGGCTGTGCCTGCCTCTGCCTCAGTGAGGGGAGCTGTGGGGGCTATGTCCTGCTGCTTCCCCAGCCGGTAGGGGAGGGGGGTGCAATGCAGGTGTGGCTCGCTCTAGGTGGCAGCAGGGCATAGGCCCTGCTCCCAGCACTGCCGCATCTGCATCAGCACTGGGATGTGGACTGGGACAAATTGCCCAGCTGGGGAGGGGGCGTGTTACTTGGGGAAAGGAGTGGGGGGGG